ACCAAACCTGCAATATCTCTGAGGAATGCCTGTATCATGAACCAATATATTTTCACAAGCCTATATATTTCAATAATATGCAAATTTGCTGCCTTCCTGATACAGATATTTGAAAGAGAAAACATTAAAATAAAGGAACATTAACACAAAATTAATGACAAGTAAAAGTCATTTAAAAATTGAAAGATAAAAATATTTAATATTTAAAATTTTTATTCTTAAAATGAAAATTTTAAAACCCACAAAGCGTTAATTGACCTGACAGTTTTGATCTTTGTTTTGCAACAAATATTCCAGACATAGAAAAAAAAGTCTTTTGTGTTGACATTGTTTGACTGTCAAGCAAATGCCCCCAAATGCCTTCAATTTGAGTGTTAAGACACACATTGCTTCACATAAGCTCATTTTTTGTTTAACAATGAAATGCTTTGTCGCTTTCCCTGATTTTCTTTTTGTCACTGAAATTGATACTGCCTTTGCTCATTCAGATTTTAGATCAGTTTCTGATTTTGTGTCTGAGAATTCCACAATACTCTATATCCTTCTCTCTGCATTTTCTTCCACAGCAAATATATATACACTGGAAAATGCCAATGATTGTGACTGGGTAGTACTTGAAGAATGTAACATTCAGATCCCAGCAAAGTTAATAGCACTACACAAACCAAAATTGCCAATTTAAGGCCTTATTTTGCTTCCAAAGCGTACTTCTTGGAATATCACTCAGAGGATTTGTATTAAAGTATACTATGCATATAAACTTATTAATATTTATTCTATTTTCAAGAATGACTCACCACTGGCAGCAGACAGGGCTACAAACATACACTGATATAATAGCAACAGCTACAAGCAAGACTGACTGATTAGATGGTAAAATTCTCACTTATGAGCTCCTGTTCCTTATTCCCAAAGATACTGACGTTAACCTTCAACTCCATGTATAGGGGTTTTTAGATTTTGCTTTCAATTGACATCATCAGTTGATCCCTTCAAACCCATAACATCTCTATGTTGATTATGAAGCTTTAATTCTTGCAGGAGAATTACGCTTTTCCCTATTCTTCAGTTTTCTTAATTGACTTTTCTTGAGATTTGGGATTTGAGAAACAATTTCTAGAAATGCAGGAAAGACATTGCTGCATGTAGCTCTAGGTCTACAGCATGGCTTGAGGGACATGGGCTCTAGCCAACGAGCATGAACTCTTAACATGCATGCCCTTGGATGGGATTCTGTTGCCCAGAGGTTCATTAAAAAGACAGGTGGACTTCAGTTGAAAGACCACCCAACCTCACTGGCTCCCTAGTTCCCTGCCTCTGCTGCTGAACTCCTACAAGGCGATGTTCCCAGGGACCTGTTTTTAGCTTTTTTCTTGTCTTCATCTTCATGCTCTCTTGGGCACCTCAAGTAAGATCTTGGTCTCAACCAACTGATGAATCCCAAATTCACATCTCCAACCCAGATCTCTCTCACTCTTTTACCTAAAGACCCATTTGTAAGTTTTTTGCTTTCTAGCCACATAACTTCAGACTTTGCTAGTTTTTGAAGTCTGACTATCCAACATAGGAGTACTTCTGGTGGGGGAAAAAAATGGTTCCATTGACCTGGAAGGTGAGTTTGTCTTCAGGTCCTTTGGTTTCTCACGCTAAAAGGGGGGATTATAGTGTTGACTGGGATGACTGACCTTAACAACTAATGGGAAACAATGGGGCAGGGAGGTATACAGGGCATCTCCTAGGATTTCTAGGTCAAATGGTAAAAGTTAATGGAAGACCATGGCAACCCCAAACCTGCAATACCATCAGAAGCTCAGCTTTCTCCAGATAGAAGATTACAACTGTCTCACTACATAAAGAACCCTGACCAATTGAGGTACTTGTGAAGGGCAAATGGGACATGAGATGAAATGACAAATGGCAGTTTTGTGATTAGATGCAGAAACAAGAACTATAGTATCTATGCATACGGTACCCCTTGCTTTGTGATAGATATATTGATCTATTTTAATAAAATTTCCCTTTTTTCTCCCATCCCCATTCCCTATTAATTTATATAGGAATTAAAAAAAACTTAAAAAAATTGTAGTATAGTCAGTTACAATGTGTCACTTTCTAGTGTACAGCATAATGTCCTAGTCACGCAAATATATACCTATATTCGTTTTCATATTCTTTTTCACTAAAGGTTATTACAAGATATTGAATATAGTTCCCTGTACTATACAGAAGAAATTTGTATTTTAATCTATTTTTATATATAGTGGTTAACATTTGCAAATCTCAAACTCTATATAGGGATGTTTTTGATGATTATATTTGCAATTTGTTGTATGAATTATAGACTATCAACTTGGGATCATGGTAGAATTAGAAGGAGAATGGACATCCCAGTTATCCTAGTGTAATTACTGATATGAATTTGGGTTGAGCTCCTTTGGGCAAAAGGGTAAGTTTTCACTAGTGAGGAATAATTACATTATGTTAGGTGAAAGCAGGTTTTGGTGGTGGTGGTCATGATGGATAAGTTTAACACTGGAAAGTTAACATAACTTGTCCAAGATCACACAGCTAATGGTGGAGCTGAAATTAATCAGAAAGTTGTGGACCTGGGGCTGTCTGACTGCAGTGACTCTGCTAATTTTAACCATCTGCCTCCAGATAACATCAGTGTTTGGTGGGAGAACACACAGATAATGTCATTATAATTTTAACATAGTAAAGTATTACTCAAGGAGCAGGAGAACTTAGTGGAGATCCAGGAAGACTTCTGGGAAGAGATGCCTGAGCTGAGTCATGAGGGATGCAGGGAACTGGTTAGACAAAGGAGGATGGGCAGGACAGTCCAAACTGAGGGAACTGCATGTGCAGAGGGCCAGGGGAATGAAACAGCATGACTGGACTGGCCATATTGCAGTGTGCATGGGGACAGCGGAGGGCAGGAAGGTGGGACCTAGATCCCTCAGAGCGCCGCTTGCTAAGCTGAAGAGTCTGCACTTGATCCTGGATTCTGTGGTGAGCCACAGAGGGATTTTCAGTGGATTTGCAATTTGGAAATCTCTGGCAGAGCAGGATGATGGTTTGCAGAGTGTGTAGGCTGGAAGCAAGGAGCTATCGGGAGGTCTTTGCATAATCCAGGTGAAAAATGAGCAGGGTCACACCACAGAAGCAATGGTGGTGGGAAGAGGAAGTGGATGGAGGGGATGGATATGAACGACGTGGAGGAGGTAGAATCTGCAGGACTTGAATGTGGATTTAAAGAGGGAAGGAGGAGCTCAGGGTTTGGTCCCAGGTGTCTGCTGGGTGTTGGGGAAATGGTGGGCTGTTTACTAAAAGAAGAAATACAGGAGGAAGAATGAGGTTGCAAGTGTTGAGCAGAGAGGTGGACAGCCTCAGGGAGCCCAGAGCTGAGATGCAGCTAATAACAGTTAATGATTGCTAAGCCCATACAACACTCTAGGCACTGAGCTAAGAGCCAGCTTCACAGGGACATTTGAAGATTACATGAGTTAATACAGGTAAGGGGTTCAGAAAATAGTGCCTCTCACAAAGTAAGCATTCTTGAAGAATTTGCTACTCTTATTATTGTTACTAGCCTTGTTTTACAGAGAAACTGGGGCATAGAGAAGTGAGGTAGCTTGTCCAAGGTCACACAGTCAAGAAGCTGCAGTCTGACTCCAGGGCAGTGCACCTGACCTCACACCATGCTGTCTGTGGTCACAGAGTGTGGGTGGTGATCAGAGCCGGTGGGTGGGGGTTGTGGAGGGGGTGGATGAGCTCACATGGGGGAAGTGTGAAAGGGATAAAGGTGGGGGCCAAGACCCAAGGCTCAGGGAACACTGACAAATCTGTCCCCAAAGACCCTTGGCCAATTGTGTGCCCTAGGTGTCCCTCTGGTGCTCGTGGTTTAATGCTCATACTGCTTACCCCTGGAGTGTTTTTAAACAATATGTTCCCCATATATTACTGCATTCCACCCAAGAACTTTGCTTCAGTCTTTCTAGAAGTGTCGTGGTCCTGGGTCGACCTTGAGAGACCCTGGAGCTCACAGTGAACCCCTTCAGCACAGGAACAGATGCTGAGTGTCCTCTCTGTGAGATAAATGTGGTACCTCTTACAGGGTTGTGGTGAAGGTTAAGTTAGTGTTGTCCATGTGGTACATTAAGCTTAGTCATTATTATTATCATTGGCCATTATCATTATTGTTCTTGGTGTTCATGTTTGAATCTCCAGGGTTTAGCACAGCATCCAGGATTTAACAATCACCTGTGGAGTGAATATCTGAATTGGACACCTTGGTTCTCGTTCTACCTTCCCCTTGGATGAGTCACTCAGAGCCTCAGTTTCCTCTTCTACAGACTGGAGACACTAATTCCCACCTCACAGGATGCCCAGGATTAAATGAGAGCCTACGAATCTGTATTTTGAGGACTGCAGAATGTTCTACAAATGCAGTGCTCAGTCATGCTCTGCCTCCCTTCCTAGGAGGCAGTTGGCAGCAGACTAGGGACGGTGAGTGGGAGGCTATCTTGAACTGGTAGGAAGCTCAGTTTCTTGTCAGACAAGTAGGGCGAGGTGGATGGGTGGCTGGGAGGACATGGGCCAGGCGTGGGCTGCCACTGGCTCACCAGGTCCAGGGGGGATTGTTAAGGCTAATGGTCTGTAGCCTCCCTGACTCCTGCTTAGTGGTTTGGAGTTCGATCGTGTTGCATCCTGGAGATCTACTTGCCTCTGCACACATGTATGTATATGTCTAGGGGAGGCTCAGCTCTCTCCCAGAGTAAGGAGGTGGCAAATATTAAATTTTTGAGAAGCTTCCTCTTATGTGCAGTGGAGAAAGTTGGAGTACTGGGAGTGTTTGTGTTTGGGTGTCTATCCTGATATCTGTAAGCCAAGCATGAGCACATGCATATGTCTGAGCTGTTTCACAATGCCAGTGATCTACATGTGACATAATGATGGGGCCAGCGGTGATGGTGAGGCCAGCCCAGTGGTTACACACCATGGCGAATGCTGGTGGTAACAATGGTGGTGGTATTGAGGGTGAGTTGATGATGGCCTCTTAGCTGCCCCTTTCACACCTTGCAGGCATTTTTCTTGTGGGTTAGGCCCTTCCTTAAGAAGGAATGGAGGTAAGGGATAAATTGGGAGTTCGAGATTTTCAGATACTGACGAGTATATATGAAATAGATAAACAAGTTCATACTGTATAGCACAGGGAACTATATTCTATATCTTGTAGTAGCTTATGGTGAAAATGAAATATATGTTTATTTGAATATATGTATAAATATATGTATAAATGAAATATGAAAATGAACATATGTATATTCATGTATGACTGAAGCAATGTGCTGTATACCAGAAATTGACACAACATTGTAAACTGACTATGTTTCAATAAAAAAATAAAATAAAACATATAGAGAGCTTAAAAAAGAAAAAAGAAGGAATAGAGGAGGGAGGAGGAGGGGCATCCACCTCTCAGTACCCAGTGTTCAAGCTGTGGTTTCTCCCTGACAATCCAGCTCTTGCAAGATCAATTTTTTTTTCTTCCAGAAAGCCGTTCACTTTTGCTGTGTGATTGGGGAGTTAATAGGTGGGAGCAACTCCCTGCCATGGCATTTTTATTTAAGTGGCATGAACACACTCTACCTGGCCCTTCCTCTAAACCTTTACTATTGCTCCCACCATTCAGAATACCCTCCAGTCAAGCTATCTCCCCTATTCCTAAAGGCTCAGCTCAGACGTACCTCCTTTATCACACTTCTCACATCTCACATGATACAATTAAATTCTCCATTTGTGGTACTCCTACGTTGCAAAGACAACTGTGTAGGAGTTCTGTGTGGCTCTGAGGCCAACAAATCTTACACTGTAAGCTGGGTCAATGTCCTTCTTTTGTTTAGACTATATGTTCTTGGGGTTCAGCTTTGTGTGTCAAGACCTGGTACAGTGGTATGTTAATAAATGTTTAACAGCCAGCTCTTTGGGGAAAAAGCCCTGCTTTGCAGCTGATTTGTCAATTTCTATGTTATAAATAATCCCAGCATGGCTCTCTTAAAGCTACCGACTGATGCCACTGAAGGTGCAGTTGAGAAGAGATGTCTACAGTCAGCTCGTATGAGCTGGTTCCAGCACACAATTGCTGATTCATGTCTATGCTCCAGAAATGCTGATATCAGTGAGTGCCTGGCACATAGTAGGTCCTCGATACATGTTTGAATGAATGAATCAATGAATGACTAAATCAATGAATCCATAAATAAATGAATGGATGAAGAGCTGGATGAGTGGGTGGAATTAAACCAAGTGGCTAGAGCAGTGGTGACTCACGGCTGGCTTTCGCAGGGGGAGGTGGGAGGAGAGAGGAGGTTGATCTGAGCTGGGCAGGGGCATTGTTAGCTCACACCAGGCAGATCCAAAGTATCCCAGTCCCCCATCCAGAAGACACGAGGCCGATCCAAGGTATCCCAGTGCCCCATCCAGAAGGCCTTCCTGGGTCCCCCAGACTCCCCCCAACGCTGAGGCCGCTTTGCCTTCTCTCATAAATAACCTGTAATGCCGCTGAGTGCGGTATTTTTGTTGGGGCTTTTGTTTCTTCAATCATGACAAAAGCCACACTAATGAGTTATTGGAAAAACCAAGCCCTGCTCCAGGCCAGAGAGGCTGGGTGAGCACAGAGGGGGAGGTGTGGAGCACGACGGCCCAGGCAAGGCAGGAGGCTAAGTGATTCCCTCAAGAGAGCGTGCCAGCTTGAGAGAGCGAATTTAAAAAGCCCTAATGGCTCATATGTTTCCAGGGCTTTCCAGTCCACACAGAATATGACAAGAAATCCTTCTCTGAGCAGGTGTCATTAACATCCCACTGCTCCTAGGCATTTCCACCTCAGGGCCTTTGTACCCGCTGGTCCCTCTGCCTGGAACACCCTGGCTGCCAGGTATCCACTCGTCTCCCTCCCTCCCTTTACTCACGCCCTTGATCAAACTGAACATCACCTCCTCAGAGGGACTTCCCCTGACCACCGTGTCTAAAGTGACACCTCCTCTCGTTCTCCATTGTCTTGTCCTGATTTAATTTTGTTTTTATAGCACTGATTGTAATCTGATGTCTTGGATTGGATTTTACAGAAGCAGATCCCAAGACAAGGATTTGAGGGCAAGTAGTATTCAGTGACTCCAGGAAACACCCATGGGAGAATGGGGAAGTGATACAGGGGAGGGAAGGCTTCCAATAAAGGGTGCAGTAAATAATGTGGGGAACTCTGGGAGCCGGTGTGGGACACATACCTAAGAGACATCCTGCCCAAGAGGTGAAGGAGCTGGATGTTTATGTACCAGCTCTGTGAGTCACTAGCTGAGGGCTGCTCCCAGGGAGCTGGGGGTGTCTGGCTATTCTGGCTAGTATGTGGGCAGGCAAAGAAGGCTGTGGGCAAAGGCATTCAGGTGCTGCAATTAGAAGTCAGCCTGAGGGCAGTGAAGTTAGTATATGAGCTGAGCACCCACAGGCTCTTCTAGAACTGACTTGACACAATTATGTTTGTCTCACCCACTAAAATGGAAGGGAGAGACGTTGCTGTGTTCACTGGTACATCCTCTATGCCTAGAACAGTGTCTGGTAATCATGACATTGTTGTTGAATGAATGGATGCCCATTTTACAGAAAAAGAGGGTAAGGCTCAGAGACGTGAAGCACTGTGCCCAGATTAGATTCATTCACATCAGTATTTACTGAGCACCTACTTTGGGCCCAGCACTCTAGTCTCTCTGACTCCAATTCCTGGGACCCTCCTAGTCATGTCTTCCCCGAGCCTGGGTCCTAGTGAGGAGGAGGTGGGACTTTCAGGACTCCATTCCATACCCCTTGGCACACAAATGCTCCTCTGCCCTTAGTCTGACCTGGCAAGGAGAGGTCTGAGAAGCCTTCAATGGAGGTTCAGGCATGAGCTAGGCAGCTAGGATGTACACTGAAATGTTATTTTGCCTTCTCCCATTTCACTTAGACTAATGACTGACATTTCCCTCTCCTTCATCCCAAGAAAGGAACCAAGGTCAGTGTCTGAGTCTGGTCTTTCTTGCCTCAAGAAGCTTTGGGTTTTGTTATCAATATGCAGCAGCAGGAACACCCCAGCCCAGGCTTGGAGGTGGAGGTCTCTTGCGGGGGAGTGAAGAGAGTATGGACTAGAGAAGGGAGGAGGAAAAAGTGACTTGACTAGGAGGGAGATGGGAGAAGGACCAGGAAAGGACAGAGACTGGGGGCTTTTTTGGGGGGCCTCGTCCCTGTGGACTGCAGTGCCAGATGAGGTAGCTATGGAGGCTGGATGGTAAGTGCTGAGGCCCTGAGGGAGGTCTCCAGGGCCCGCTTGTGGCCACTGAGAGGGCCGCTGTGGAGACCTCTCAGAGCCTGTCCAGGACAGCCAGCCGACTGAGGCCTTGCCCAGGGTTCAGAAGCCAAGGCAACAGGAGTCAATTACCATGGCAACCACAAGGCTCAAGGCCTCTTTCCCTGGGTCCTAGATTCTTCTATGACCCTGGAGACTCCCCCTAAACATAACTTAGGCTGATTTCTCAGCACTCTGGCAATTGGAGACTTGGGATCAGAATTTATTTGACTTGAAAAAATAAAACAGTATGACATTTATTGCATGTGGATGTTGCTGAGTAAATTCAAACCCACTCCAGTGCAGAGGGACCTGAGGGCCTCTGGATGAAGGGGACTGAGCTGAGGGGCACAATGCCAGCCTCCTGTCTGCTAGTGGGTCTGGCCAGGCAAAGCCAACCCCCAGGTCAGGCTCCTGACGGCTTGGAGGTCAGAGGAGACCACAGAGGAAACAATGAGGAACTTTGTAAAATTTATTTGAAAATCACATTAGTTCTGATTACAAAAATAATACAAACTGCTTGCAAAAAATAGGAGAAAATAGAAACATATAAAGACAGAAATGCAGATTGCCCATAATCCCATCACCCACAAAAATCATTAAAATGGTATTATATATCCTTCTCATCTTTATACAGTTTTTACATAATTGAGACCATATTAGTATTATTTGTATAATTTATATTCTATCTATAGCAGACAAAGGCCCTTGAACTCTGCATGGAGAACAAATGAAGAACACACACACACAAACACTCCCACACAAACACACACATCTGCACAGACAGTGGAGAATAGAGCGAGGGCAGACCACTGAACAGTAATAAATTCCCACCTTACTACTAAACAGCATTATTACCCTGAAAAAGTTACTTTACCCTCTTTGTGCCTCAGTTTCTTAATCTGTAAAACGGGGTTAACTGCCTCCCTGCATTTTGAGGAGGGTCAAATGTGAAAGCCCTTTATCAGCTGTAGTGGTTATTACTAGACCATAATAAAAAGAGCCAATAGCCCTGCTTTTGGCATTTAATTTGCTGTGTGGCTTTGAGCCAATTGCTTAGTTTCTCTGGTCCTTAGCTACCTACTTATTTAAATGAAGGACTGGACTAGGATTTCTAATAATAAAACTAACAGTTTTTAGAATGCTTACTATTTGTTAGGCACAACATGGAATACTTTATACGCATTTTCTCATTTAATGCCCCTAACAGCCCTATGAGGTTGGCACTATTCTTATCACCATATTATGGATGAGGAAACAGACCCAGAGAGGTTAAGTAACTTGCCTACTGTTGCTCAGCTAGTAGGCAGTAGAGCTTAGGTAAAATTAAACACTGAGTGCTGCTGTCAATCAAACTCCTTTGATGATGGAAGTGTTCTATATCTGCATTGTCCAAAATGATCTTCATTGGCTATGTGTGACTGTTGAGCACTTGAAATGTGGCTAGAGTGACTGAGACACTGAATTTTAAATTTGACTTTATTTAAGCTTAAATAAATGCTAGTAGCCAGTGGTGGTGTGCTTGGCTGGCACAGCTCTAGAATGTCAGCTTTTGGCCCCTCTTCTATGTGAGGCAGCACCAAGTAATAGAGAAAAGCAGACTCTCCTCTCTGGAGGCAGATTCTCTGGAAAACCAGCACTGCCACTTTCTAGCTGTGTGACCTTGAGGGAATGACTGAATCTCTCTGTTCCTTAATTCCCCATCTCTAAAACGATGATAAAAATACCTACCTTCTGGGTGGTTGTGAGGGCATTTTATGGTTTTGCAGTTGTCTACATACTCCTTCAGATAAGCCCTGGGTTAGCGGATGGAAACGGTGACAGGTGGGGCTAGGCCATCCTCAAGGGGCTGAGTGGGAGGATCCCTGGGGTTCCCCCCTTTCATGCTAGGCGTCAGGTGTGGCTCCCGAAGACCCCCGGGATGCTGGGCGTGGAAGTTCCCCCAGGAGAGACAAAAAATGAGAAGAGTTAATCAAAAAGGCAGCGAGTCCCCAGGATTCCTGGTGTGTCTGGAACAACGATTCGTGTGGGACCGCGCCTGAGACCCCTCCCACCCCCTAGCGCAGCTGGGTGGGTGGGGTGCCTAAACCAGGAGCGATCTGGAAAATGAGGGGCTAGAGAGGAACTAGGGGCCAGAGAGGCTGGGGTGGGTTGGGAAGAGAAGCAGCGGTGAGGAGGTGGGGCAGGAAATGAGATACAGAGTAGGATGACATCAGTTTGTCCTGGGGTCGGATCAGAGCAGAAGGAGGGGCAGCAGGGCCACCACATCGCACACTAGGGGTGGGAGGTGGGCACCATTCCTGTTGTATTCTGTGTGAATGGCGCCCCCTGGAGTTTATGCCACGCACTGGTCCCATCGGTGTGTGTGCCTTTGATTATTCAACTCCAGATTTCCTTCTCCACGTCCACTTTACAGGCATCAGAAATAGATCATGGTTAAAGGAAAAAGAATTTGCTGGGGATCTTAAACAGAGAGATCTGGGAAAATCACGGGCCCTGTCCCCAGGCCCAGCCCTGGGCCTCTCCCCTCCCATCACCTCAGCTTCACTCCCCTCCTCCCATTCCTCCTTTGCCCTCACTCCAGCCTGCCTTTTCAAGCTTGAGAACATTTGATCCCGCTTCTGAAGAGCTGTCTTGGAGAAGGTAAGAAAGACCAGCTCAGCGAAACTCGATGCCTTCCACTGGCCCTGGAGCAGATGCCAGAGGACAGAGCCACCCTCAGCCTGGCAGAGCCCCGACACCTTCAGGAAACACACCTGACCCACACCTCCCCTCCTAGAAAGCATCCCAGAATGAGGCAGCAGTGGAGGGTCACGTCC